TGGAAGTACCTAAGGAAAACAACTGCCACTGCAAAAGGATGCTCTACTCTAAAATATTACTTTGCTAATGCTTATTTTTGTTCTATCTTGTTATTTGTGTCTACACTATTTCCTTTTGATGTAGGAGACTTGGATTTGAGGTCAAATCCCTTTCAAGTGGAGGGGGATGATATGATCATGCACGAGCAAGGACCAGAAGAAGAACATGAAAATGAGCTCGACCACACACCATTCAAGTCGATCGAGCTTGCTGTTGAACATGAGCTCGACCATCCGCCATTCAGCTCGATCGAGCTTGGTACTACACATAGAATCAACTTGGAAAAGGAGATCGAGCTTGGACCGGATGAAGCATTGATCATACAAATAGATGTTATGACTTGGTCCAGAGCCAAGAAGATGATCTTTGAAGTTGGAGAAAGACTCCCGTGTTCTGTCCAAGTCAAGGAGAACCCACCAGACGCATTACTTGAGTAGAGGAGCATTCCCAAGGTAAGTGCTTATGTTCTCAAAAATGTTTTTAATCCAGATCACACAGATATGATTTGCTTGTCTTTGTCAAAAGAGCCAAATGTAGGTTTTAAAACAGCCTTGAAGCACATGAGAAGTATTGAAATGAGAGAGGAATACACTCGATTTAAGCCACCTGACCTACACCAAAGTACAGAAAGGAGAGAGGAAGACAATCGGTTTAAACCCCCTGATTTAGACCAAGATCAACATCAAGACATCAGCAGCTTCATACTGATCAACGAAGCACCGCCAAATGAAATATACAAGTCAAAGCTGAAGCCAACGATGCATAGACCTTTTAAAGCATTCAGACTTATCCAAAACCAAGATTATACAATTGATCTCCAAGGTAAGCAAAATTTGAGTTCAAGTTTTTAAGGTTCTGACTTGAACCTATCAAATGCAGAAAAATCGGATTTGAAGTCAAATCCCTTTCAAGTGGGAGAGGATGATGTGATCCTAGAAAGCACCACAGACTTGGAATGTGGAAATGAGCTTGAACCTGTTGAGCAGCATAGAGCAAGGAAGCAGTTTAAACCAGAGGAGCAGCATGAACCTGAGGATGAGCTTGTAGCTGCGGATGTTCTATTGAAGAAGTTGATCAAACCACCTTGGCTTGGAGAAAGAGATAAGCCAATTGGATTCAACAATGGGAGAGTGATCCAATTGTACTCTTTTTCCCTTGTTGAGTTTTGTCCCAATGGGTTTTCTCAACAAGGTTTTTAATGAGGCAATTGAGTCACTCCATCATGGCCCATTTGTTGAATCAGAAGCCCATGGACTCTTTTGCAACAAAAGCCCACGTCCAAAAGAAGGAGAAGAGTCATTCTATCTTTTCAAATTATGTCTTTAATTTCTTTGTGATTTCCGAGACAGCCTTGTGAGTCTGTTCGAGGCTTGTTCTCTTCATTCTCTATTTAAACTCTCTGTACTCTCTTGAGAAACCTTATCTATCTTTTCAATTAAAAACTCTTTAAGATTAGATCATCTCTTGCTGGTGTGTAATATCCATCAAGAAATCATGTTCCTCCTTTGGTGTGTCATATCCAGAGAAGGTCCAGTGGTATATCAGAGGCTTTCCGCAACCTCGGTGTGACATTTAGATCCACAGTTCACTGACTCGACCCCTTGACTTGACCGAACACTCGAGTCAAGCCCGAACCACACTCGACCATCGTTCGATCATCACTCGACTGTTCACTCCACTCGACCACTTGACTCGACTGCACACTTGAGTCAGACCCCATTCGATCCACCACTTGCCTTCTGTGCTTTGGCTCAGTTGCTGTAAGCCTATCCCAGTCATTCAACAGATTTTAGAGTTTACGATCCGTAGGAGATTCGTATCATGTGGTATCAGAGCAAACTCTGAAAGTTGAGTTTTTCAAAAGCTATTTGGGAATTCCTCAAAAGCTATTTGGGAATTCCTCAAAAGTCAAGGAAAGGTTAAAGTCTGGTATCATAATTTCGGCTAATGATTGTGTTAATTTATTGAGGGAGATTTTTGTGTAGGGGGTGCTGCATAAGTTCTCTAGAAGAACATGACTTCCAGTTTATCAGACTCATTGGTTTTTACTCGGTTAGTTTGAGAGTTTGTTGTAAGGCTTTCATCTTAGTCTTTTTTGTAGGGTTCAATTCTCAGATATTATATGTATGCTATATCATCTGTGTTATTGAAATAATAATAAAAGAAAGGAATTGTCCGGACAAAAAAACATCTCCACATAGGAGAACTGTCAAAAAGGGAGTGGAGCAGGTGACGGAAGGCAAGAACCCGAGGAACCAGGACATGGCGAAGGGTACAGTGGGTGGTGGCAAACCACCAAAACACAAGATTGATAAATGAAGGTTTTGAGTTGGAATTGTCAATGACTTGGGAACAAGGCAACTATCGGTTATCTTCGGGACATATGGAAATAACACCGACCAGATTTTTTATTTCTTTCGGAAACAAAACAATCTTCTTTGTTTATGGAAAAATTTATCGGTCATTTTGATTACAAAAATTTAAAAACGGTTGATCCTATCGGTTGTAGTGGCGGTTTAGCTCTTTATTACAATATTGATTTTAATGTATCCATTATTTTTGAAAGTAATCGTTTAATTGATGTTGAGGCTGTGGTAAAGGGGAAAAAAAATACACCTTACTTTTGTTTATGGTGATCCGGTTCCAAAAAATAGAGATCAAATTTGGGAACGGTTAACACGGATCGGTTTGACTAGGGACACACCCTAGTTTATAATAGGTGATTTTAATGAGTTAACCGGAAACCATGAGAAAAGAGGTGGTAATTTAAGACATGCATCGTCTTTTTTTTTTTTTGGTATAAGACATGCATCGTCTTTTATCCCTTTTAATTTAATGATTCAAAATTGCGGTCTTTTGGAGTTCCCATACATCGGATATTGGTTATCTTGGCGGGGTTGGCGGGACAAGAAACCAATACGGTGTCGTTTGGATAGAGCTTTAGATAAAGAAGATTGGCATTAATTATTCTGCAATTCTTTCGTTGAATATTTAGAAATGGTAGCTTCCGACCATTCACCAGTGGTATCTACACTCATGGATAAGGTCCCACGTGGGAAAAGAGTTTAGAATAAATATTCTCTCTAACAAGGTATCGAAATCTCTGAAGGTAGCTATCTCCAATTATCTTCCAAAGGGTTCAAGCTCAGAGACTTACAGAAGCAAAAGACAAAAGTTGCAGGGTACAGAAACTGAAAAACCCTAAAAAACTATTTATAAAGTCTCCAAAAACGTGCAGGGACTAAAATTGCAAATAGGGAAGTCTTCTGGGTAAATTCTGCGGGCTTTAAAACTCTAAACCGTCGAGACTTCTTGCTGGGCCGTGTTTGGTGTCGAGCGACACCAAGGGTGTCGGTCGACACCAATGCCTTGGTTCGAACCGGATTCGTTTCTTCAGCTCCAAATCCTCGGTTTAGCTCCAGAATGATTCATTTTCTCCAATTTCGTCCCGAACATGGTAAAACCTGAAAAGACTCGAAAAGATACTAGAAACAACAAAAAGACTCTAAAACTAACACGTAAATCACGGTTAAAACCAGTAAAATCCGTGTTATATCAACTCCCCTAGACTTAGCTTTTGCTTGCCCTCAAGAAAAACAAAAAAACCGAACCCGTGGAAGAAGTTTGAAAACATAGAAACTCCCAAATTCTCTAGCCTATTACCTTGATCATTCAAACCAAATCCATATGCCTAGCAGATCGCATCAAATCCTAACCACCATGTAATTCTCCGCAAGCATTCTCAACATTCCAAATTCCAAACCAAATTTCACAACTATATCCTATAGCCCTCATCGCATAAATCTCATCAATAAAATCAGTACTCAAGAACCTTCTAGACTCATTCCCGTACTATACCATGATAAATCAACCATTTTACACACTTAGGTACTCTTTCTCTCCCCCAAACTTATTTTTTTTCGAACCATTTTTTTTTTTAGAATCAAAGGTGTAGGCGAATAATGGTATCATCGGAAATTTTCCTAACCTCGCTTCCAACCTTCGTGTGATCATCCCTCTTGAAGTAAAATAATGAGATCCAGGAAATTTTCCTATCTCTTTACTCCAAAAGAAAATCATCTCAATCTTTTTTTTTTTTTTTTTTTTTTTAAGACTAAGGGAGAGGAGCACCATTCTTTTTCACATTGGTCTCATTTATCAGGTATGAACAAGGAGTCAAGTTCTGAGAATACTAACCGTATTGACGAGGTGAAGAGCGTGAACTTTGCTCAGGCGTTAGCGGATTGTGTTGGAAATGTGGATGTCCTCTGGTCTATCGATTAGCTCTCTGGATTTTCCATTAGTCGGATTGATTTGAATCTGCAGCATTAAACTAACCAGGCAATAATCTAGAGAAAAAGATCATAATTTCCAACAAAATTTTGACTCAATAAAACGACTCAAAAGAAAGAGAAAAATAAGACTCAAAAAGAAAGAAAAACATAGTTAGTAACTGCCTCCCCCAGACTTAAACGACACTGTCCCCAGTGGCATTCAAACCGGAGTTAGCGAAAGAGAAAGAAAAATAAGATAAAAGAAAAGTAAAAGAAAAGAAAAGAAAAACATACCAGTGGGTTGCCTCCCACTAAGCGCTTATTTTCAATCATTAGCTTGACTATGTCGGGACTCAGGAGTGTGGTGGAGCAGGAGAAGTGTTTGAAGACTTCTCAGAAGCGCGACGCCTTGCTAGCCATGGTGGAGTGTAAGCGGTGGAGGTGTGCTCATGTCCAAGGAAACTTGTAGAAGCTGCAACATCTGTAGTTCCTTGTCCTGCATCATCAACATAAGAAACAAGCACGCGAGAATCTCGTGGCTCGTTTACCTGTGAAGCCTTCTTCGAAGATATGGAAGTATTAATTGAAGAAGGTAAAGTATGAGGAGGGGAAGGGCAATACCTTTGTTGATCAAGGCGTGGAAAGCGTGGGCGAGGTGCTCTGTATGGCTCAGGAACAGCTCTCGATCTTGAGGCAGTGTGTGCAGTCCCAAGAGCAACATTAGCTGAAGGCGGTGTCTCTGGTCGTCGAGGGTGTCGATCGACACAGACGGTGTCGGTCGACACCGGTGTCGGTCGACACCGGTCCGTCTGCAGAGGGCTGAATGGCGAGCTGAGCATTGTCGGGCTCTGATGGTGTATTACACTGCAATTCCTGAGCAGATTCCCTTGTAGACTCAACAGAGAAGGACTTATCACTGAGAATCGGAGGTGTACGTGGTCCTTTCATGTCGAAATCCATCTTCACATCACAAACATCCAACGAAATCTGTCCCTTCTTCATATCAATCTTCGCACCAGCTGTGGCCAAGAAAGCTCTACCCAAGATAAGAGGATCCTTGGGTTCAACATCGTAGTCCAGCACTACGAAATCAGCAGGGATGAGGCATTCACCAATCTTCACAGGAACATCCTCCAAGATTCCTTCGGGAATACGCTTAGAACGATCTGCGAGAAGCAAAGTGATTCTTGTCGGCCTGTAAGACGTCATACCTAGGCGGACAGCAACTGAGTATTACATCAGATTGATGCTAGAGCCAAGGTCACACAATGATTTCTTGAATCGGCTTGAAGAGATGGAACAATCAAGAACAAAGCTTCCTGGATCAGGTAGCTTCTCAGGCATACGACTCTGGATAGTCGAGCTAACGTGTTCAGACACAACCACTTTCTTCTTACGCTCTTTCTTAGCTTCCTGCAGCATAATCAAACTGATATCCTTGGTGAGCAAAGCATCTTCCTCAGCACAAACACCATTGTTCACCAAACGCTGGACATAGCGATCAAGTGTTGGAGAAGATGTCTCCGGATTGACTTTAGGAATAGAAGTCAAGATCTTCTCAATGATGGCCTTGCAGCGAGCATCTTGAATCTCCTGCTTAGAGCGACGCTTCCTAGAAAAAGGAACTGGAGGCGTGTAGACAGGCTTCGTAGGTGGGAAGACAAGAGCATAGGGAGCTGTTCTGACCCAGTGTCGATCGACACTAGATGAGTGTCGGTCGACACTGGTACTTGATGTCGAGGTGGGGGAGAGTGTGGCGGTTGACAACTCTCCGTCAAACGTCGAAACTGGCTCGATTGATGGTTGGTGTCGATCGACACCCTGATGGTGTCGGTCGACACCGAGGGCTTGTGTCGAAGCAAGAGGAGTGGTGTCGATCGACGAGTCTTCGTCGAACGTCGTTTTCCATGGGAAACGGACGGGTGTCAAGCGACACCAGCGTGTGGCGCTTGACACTGGCTCTGCAGCTGCGAGCTCAAGTTCGTCTTCAGTATCCAACTCTTCCCAAACATCATCTCCATCACGAACTAGGATCGCATTACATGTTCTCTTGGGATTAGCATCAGGCATACCAGGAAGAACACCATCTTGTCGCTTAACAGCGGCGGCAGTTTGAGCAACTTGAACATCGAGCTTCTTCATGTGAGTGTTCAAAGTGTCAATCTTGCCATTCAAATCAGAGTAGATGGCATCAAACTTCCCATTAAACTCCACAGTAAGCTTAGTCTGCCCCTCCAAAATCTGCTCAAGCATTGTCTCCATCTTACTCTCGGGAGTGGGCGCAGGTGGATTCTGGTAGGTCGTGTTCCCGTAGGTTCTCTGGAAGCTACTAGTCTGCGGATATGTCTTCTGAAACGCTGACCTGTTGTTGAAGCTGGAGTTGTTCTGATTCCCTGTGAAATGCTTACCATTGAAGTTGCTTTGAGGAGGCCCGAACTTTCTGTAACCTTGTCCATCAATGTAGAACACTCCTTCTTCAGAATCCTCCTCTAGCTCAATAGTCTCAACCTCTGCTGCAAAGTGAACAGCCTTCTTCCCCGTGAGGAGGTTGTGAACCGAATCCAACTTGGCATTAACCTCTGCGAACTGAGTACCAGTAATTGCGCCAGCAATCTTCTGCCTCTCGAAGTCCGCATTCTTCGTGCTGTTGCTACAGGCAAGGTTCTCAATGAGAGTTACATCATCTATGGGGTACCTGGTGTTGAAGTTACCATTGCTCGCAGCGTCAAGAGCCATCTGGTATCTCCAAGAGTCCCACGTGGGAAAAGAAATTTTAGGTTTGATAAAAGATGGATTGGGAAGGAAGGATTACTCGAGGCAATTTCAAATGGGTGGAATTCGGACTCTGAATTAGGTGAAGGAAAATTTGTTGAAAAATTGACTAATTGTAGGCGAGCTATTTCGCAGTGGAGGAAAGATTTAACTCCCTATGGGCGGCAAACAATTGAGGAACTAAAATCGGAATTACTCGTGGCACAAAGAGATGATAGGAGACCACGGGAGATTACTCAGACATGATTAATGAAACAGAAAACATGTTGAATAAAGTGCAATAAGAAATCAAAAGAAGAAAAGAGTTTAGAATAAATCTTTTCTCTAACAAGGTATCGAAATCTCCGAAGGTAGCTATCTCCAATTATCTTCCAAAGGGTTCAAGCTCAGAGACTTACAGAAGCAAAAGACAAAAGTTGCAGGGTACAGAAACTGAAAAACCCTAAAAACTATTTATAAAGTCTCCAAAAACGTGCAGGGACTAAAATTGCAAATAGGGAAGTCTTCTGGGTAAATTCTGCGGGCTTTAAAACTCTAAGCCGTCGAGACTTCTTGCTGGGCCGTGTTTGGTGTCGAGCGACACCAAGGGTGTCGGTCGACACCAATGCCTTGGTTCGAACCGGATTCGTTTCTTCAGCTCCAAATCCTCGGTTTAGCTCCAGAATGATTTCTTTTCTCCAATTTCGTCCCGAACATGTAAAAACCTAAAAAGACTCAAAAAGATACTAGAAACAACAAAAAGACTCTAAAACTAACACGTAAATCACGGTTAAAACCAGTAAAATCCGTGTTATATCAAGGAGTTGTATTGGCATCAAAAAAGTAGGAGCTTTTGGATGCAACTAGGGGATAATAATTCAAAGTATTTTCATGCACTAACAAAACAAAGACGGGCAAGGAATCGAATAACGGAGCTACATGATGAAAATAGGAATTGGTCTGCAGAGGATAAGGGTATTCAAAATATAGCGGTTTCTTATTTTAAGGAACTGTTTACTACAACTAAGCCTGAGGCTTTTGAGGAATCCTTGGCAGAAGTTCAAACTCTGATTACGGAACAGATTAATAATTTTTTAACGGCACCTGCTACAGAATGTGAGGTGAGAACGGCTTTGTTTATGATGCATCCGGAAAAAGCGCCAAGTCCTAATGGTATGACAGCTTTATTTTACCAAAAGGCTTGGGTTACCATTAAAACAGACCTTCTTTTTCTGGTCAACTCCTTTTTAGAGGATGAAATTTTTGATAAACGGTTAAATACGACTAACATTTGCTTGATTCCAAAAACTGAAAGACCGACACGGATGACGGAATTACGGCCTATCAGTCTTTGCAATGTTGGGTATAAAATTATATCGAAGATTCTTTGTCAATGACTAAAGACGGTGCTACCAAAACTGATTTTGGAAACACAATCGGCTTTTGTAGAAGGACGATTGATTTCGGATAATATTCTCATCGCACAAGAGATGTTCCATGGGTTGAGAACTAACCCTTCCTGTAAAGGAAAATTCATGGCAATTAAAACAGATATGAGTAAGGCCTATGATAGGGTGGAATGGATTTTCATAGAGAAGGTTTTAAGAAAATTGGGTTTCTGTGAAAAATGGATAAAATGGATAATGTGGTGTATTACAACGGTCCAATATAGAGTTCTCCTTAATGGACAACCTAGAGGACTAATAATACCAGAGAGGGGTTTACGACAAGGAGACCCCCTCTCACCTTATTTATTCATCATTTGCACAGAAGTGCTAATTGCGAATATTCGAAAAGCTGAACGGGAAAAATTAATTACGGGTATCAAAGTAGCAAATGCAAGCCCTTCGGTTTCACATCTGTTATTTGCAGATGATAGCTTATTTTTTTGCAAGGCCAACAAGGATCGGTGTGGGGTAATTTTGGGAATTTAAAAGAAATATGAAGCGGTCTCGGGACACCAGATTAATTTTTTAAAATCCTCGATTCAGTTTGGACATAAGGTAGATGATGATATCAAAGATGAAATCAAATCTACCTTAGGTATCACTAATATCGGTGGTATGAGTTCTTATCTTGGATTGCCGGAGAGCTTACGAGGATCCAAGACAAAAATCTTCTCTTTTGTCAGAGAGAGACTACAAACAAGGATTAACGGGTGGTCGGCAAAATTTTTATCAAAAGGGGGAAAGGAAGTGATGATTAAATCGGTAGTTGCGGCATTACCAACTTATGTTATGTCATGCTTCAGACTACCTAAAACAATCACTTCTAAACATACTAGCGCAGTTGCTAATTTTTGGTGGAGCTCAAATGGTGATTCCAGAGGTATGAAGTGGATGGCTTGGAATAAATTGTGCAATAGCAAATCGGAAGGGGGTTTAGGATTTCGGAATGTTGACGATTTTAATTCAGCTTTACTTGCAAAACAATTATGGCGGTTGATCACGGTTGCAGATTCTCTTTTCGCAAAGGTGTTTAAAGGACGATATTTTAGGAAATCCAATCCTTTGGAAAATATAAAATTGTATTCTCCATCATATGGATGGCGGAGTATATGTTCAGCTAGATCTCTGGTTAATAAAGGACTTACTAAAAGAGTCGGATCTGGGACAGCCATCTCGGTTTGGGAGGATCCCTGGATTCCAGCTCAATTCTCGAGACCAGCAAAAAGTAATGGTTCAGTTGCTGACCCATCTTTAAAAGTTAACGATCTTATAGATCGTCGGACGAACTTTTGGAATAATGATCTCTTAAAAGCGATCTTTGATGTCGCGCTAATAATGATGTCGCGCTAATAAGCACCATACACGTGGGTGCGCCAACAAAGGAAGATTCTTTGTGATATAAGATTGGAACCAATCCAACTTATGATCACTCAATGATCAAGAGATTCCAAACTTAATCCCGCGGAAGGATGGAAACGATGTGGAGATAGTATGATTGACTCGCTCAATCAATGGGTTAATCGACTCACTCGATCAATGAACGAAAGAAGGATGTTGAACTTATCAACAAACTTAATCCGCAGATTCAAACAGGCCTAAGAGACTCACTCACTTAAGACTAATGAATAAACGACAAAGACTCGAACTTTGACAAGAAGAAAATGTTTCTTATTACTTTAAAATTGATCAAGGGTGACTAAAAATGTTACAAGTGACTTGAGCTTTATAGGCTCGACCTCTAGGATTGGTACAACAGTCTAATGACTCAAAATAGGAAAGCAATACACGAAATAAATCAAAGAAATCAAGTGGAGATGTGCCTTGAAAGAATATAGCCGTTAGGCTTTGAATGCTTAGGCCAAAAGGAGTAATTCGTGGGCTCTTGTATCTTGAAAGCTTCTGGATGATTCCATGGCTTATTAATCTTCTAATAACTCCCTTAAGTCGCACCAAATCAGAAGATAGACGTTGGGGTTGGGCTTTGAATGCTCTCGGGTCCATATATGGTAACTCTTGGTGTATGATTAGGGAAGATTGAACCCACTTGATCCAAGGGCTAAGAATGAAGCTTGAGGTGATCTTAGGAGTCTCTAGTTGTAATAGAAACTCTCCTGGACGCCAAAGTTTGGTTTGCAAGTAATTAAACCCGTCAGCTTCCAAATAAAGCAAGCTGAGCATCATCTGGTTTAGAGAATTAATATCTTCTAAACCAAAATCGGTATTGACTTGATTCCAATTCGAAAAGCTCCTCTGATGAGTTAAGAGTGTCCGAAAATTCACTTTGTAGCTTAACTCCTTCTGGTTTGGTCGGAATCCTCCAATAACTGCACGTAGGTCCAAACCGAGTTCGTTGGGGATCATCCGGTTTGAAAATTGAATAACTCCTTCGTGTGAACTCCGTTTGGGCTGATTCTTCTTCGTGGTTGTCGGTAGTTGAGCTGAGAATGTATTCCAAGTGATCTCTGGGCATGAGGAATTGATCTTGGCCTTCGTCTGGACTGAAAAAGGCTGAGGGGTCTTCTCGGGTAGGCTGAATTGGCTTTGGCCCGAAGTTTTGGATAAAACTTGGTTAAAATTCCCACTTGGCTGCTCCTGGGTTGTTGTTTCTCGCCCATAATCTTCTCCATGGTTGGTTCTTGGGTTGATGACCGCATCACTTTGGGTTGGCATTTTACAAAATCCGGAAAATATACAGTCAAATCGGGATATCATACCACTCGGTTAGAAAAGTTGGAGACCAATTTAACCTTTTTTGGCCCTGATATCAACCCGTTAAAAGCATATTCTTGGTAAGTGCAGTGTCCACCTAAGATACGCCATTTCTTGTGGCAAATCTTAACAGGATGTGTACCGGTTACGGAAAATTTGCGGAGAAGAGGAATTGATTGTGACACGGGCTGTACCAGAGGTGGCGCACCTGAGGAAACGATCATTCATACCCTCTTTCAGTGCCATCTGGCACGGCAGATTTGGGCACTTTCACAGATTCCTACGGCTATGGGGATTTTTCCCACAGAACCTAATTTTGCGAATTTGGATCACTTATTTTGGAGAATACCTTCGGAATTTGATTCATCAGCCTTCCCATGGATTATTTGGTATATTTGGAAAGCAAGGAACGAAAAAATCTTTGAAAACATAGATACAGACCTAATAGAGGTATTACGATTAGCGGAAAAAGAAGCACAATTATGGCAATCAGCTCAAATTGAGCTCCATAATGAAAATCATGGTTCTGTGGACTTGGTAAATCGAATTCGAGTGAGGGATGTTTCACTTGAATCAAAATATTCCGGATACCGTTGTTTTGTGGATGGATCATGGAAAGGAAGTGACAAGTTTTCCGGTACAGGGTGGTTCTGTACATCGTCAAATAGAGAGCCGCCAACCATGGGAGCTGCGAACCTCCGTAGAAGTCTATCTCCACTACATGCCGAAGTCGAGGCCCTTCTCTGGGCGATGAAGTGTATGATTGGTGCAGATAATCAAGAGGTAGCGTTCTTTACAGACTGTTCCGACCTGGTGAAGATGGTGTCTTCTCCAACCGAATGGCCGGCGTTTT